TACGGTTAGGCCTAGTAGACTTTGTGAATAAATTTCTTATATCTGCCTGTAGCATGCTTTCCTTTTCCCTTGCAAAAAGTTAGAATGCAGGAGGTGAAACTGCACTACAGTTTGTGCAGTAAAGCAGTTTTATTGCGCAACAGGTTTCAGGACATGTTAAAATTGTTTGGCAGCAGTCTGCTGTGAAATGTTTTCAACCTGCTCCCCTTTGTCATCACTTTTCTCTTCTCGAACTTTAGGTTTGTCACAATTCAAAGCACAATTTAAATCATTTCTTCCATATTTCATGTCTTGTAACAGATGATCGTCTCAAATATGACAAGAGGCCTTAGGTTGTGACAGCATCTTAGCAGAGTTTCATGCACTTGGCATGTTAAAAATGGCATCTCTGACACAGTACTTAAACTGAAATTCATGAATTTTTTCTTCATGATTGGTCAGCTTTCGAATGAAATCATGTCGATGAAACATTTTCAAATTTAGGATCACACCCTGATCCATTGGCTGAATCAAAACTGTCAATTTAAGAGGTAGAAAACACACAAAAGTACTGTCATGAATGAGTTCTTCTGCAAGGGGTTAAGCATGATAATCATCCAATAAAAGTACAGCTTTGCTGTTTTCAGGCATTCCTTTCTTTCGCAAATGTTCTTTTGCACTCGGCATAAAAACAACTAAACCAACAAATAAAAAGTTTCTGCACCCATTCAAGCTTTGTTTTGGGTTTTGTTGTCGACAGGCAGATGAATTACGCCTTTGAAATATCTTGGTTTTGCTAACATTTTCCGCTAACAATCATTTTCACCTTGCGTTCCCATGGTATTTGCAAACACAATACAATTATACATTGTCTCCTTTGCTTAAAAAATGCGCAACCTTTTCATCAGCACCAGCTAAAGCCGTGTTTCGAAGGCATCGCCACATTAACCTCACCTCGGCAACATCATAGATATGCTTGGCGGTCAGATCATGCTCAATCACAATGTTATTAAAACTTTATAAAAATCTTCACCTGATTTCGTATCCACAGATTTCTGATCACCTGATATGTCAATCTTTTGGATCCTATGTTGTATCTTAAAGCGTAAGAGCCACCCATGAGAAAACACACACGGCTCCATTACTTTTGCCTTCTCATAAAATTCTTTGCTTTTTCTGTTAGTATTTCCTTTGCAACTCTTTAGCCAAAACCATTTGTACAATGCACAATCCAAGTCTTCTAACTTAGGAATCTGATGTTTGTGATGCTGCTCTATGCTTTCACAAAGAATACTTTAAGCTTTCAACTCTGGGTTGAATATCATGGATCATTGATGAACCAACATTGAATTCGTGCATAAGCCCATCGTGATTTTCATTCTTTTCCAGTCTTTTTTTCCATTTTCTATATTAAAAGTCAAAACGGCATGTTTTCACAACATGGGAATGTTCCTAGTTGACATATTGGTTTAATATAAGATTGATTTTGGACATAACAGAATCACAAATTAAATTGGCTGCTACTACCATGGTGTCGGTGAGAGAGGGGAAAACAGGCAGCACTGGTAGCAATGGCTGAGAGAACAATCGCATAGCAGTAAACATATTCACTTTGAAACTTTACTCACCATGTTCAAAGAGATATTTTTGAATAAACTTTATAAAAATGATAATTTTCTTTGAAATGCTTGCCAGGTGCATGAAAATTCAAATTCCAGATGCTTGGGTACTGGTTTACAGGGAGTTTACCGTACATGATGCGAGAATAGGTAATGATGAGATATTAATATGTGGAATGGACCTCTCACTCAAGAGATTCTTATCCTAACATTCAAACATTGGGCAGAAAATTTCATTTTTCTGATCCTGCCATATTTTTCCAACTGACATGCAGTACCAATGTCACTCAGAGGCTGGCAAAATTCAGCCTTACATGTGCATTTGAAGAAAAGAGAATTGCAGAGTTCTTACATAGAGTTGAGTGACAGATTGTGACATGGTAGCTGTAAAAATCAGTCTTCAGATATCTCACAATATGACTGGATATAGGTCATAGATCAATTTTTGCCATGTTCTTTGTATTCTTTTATGCCTGATGCAGGCATTTCTTGTTTAATTATTACATTTCAAGTTATGAAACTGAAGACACAATAGCCTCATAACTCTGGAAGACATAAAACACTGGCCTAAATGTTCTGGGGATGTGGGGTTGAATCTTATCATGACAGATGATGAAATGTGAATTCAATAAAAACCTGGAATTAAAAACCTGGCCTAACGGTGACCACATAATCACCGGCAATTGTTGTACAAACACATCTGGTCGCCAATGTCCTTCAGGGAAAAAAAACTCTGCTGTCCACATTCACTCTGAACTACACATGACTCCAGACTCTCAGTATTGTGGTTAACTCGTGCCTGCCTCTGGACACAACATCCCATAAACATTTAAAAAACATAAAGGGTTCTAAGACCAGTCTTGACCAGAATTCTTGGTTCACCCCAATAAGAACATTTTGATCAGTTCATTAATCAATAAATAATAGAAACACATATGCAAACTATTTTCTGGAGAAGATAAACAATCTGTTGGTCACAAAACATTGCAACAAGAGATTGTTGATTTATGTGAATATTTAAAAAAAGACATGCTGCTGAAGGTTTTCATCTTGCACTCACCAGGGAACATTTCAAATGATCACAGCTATTTAAACAACAGAAACATATACATTTGCTGCAAGTGGGATATCCTTTGCAGCAATCCATTCTCCACAAACAAAGGGAAAATGTTCAAGCCTTGGTGTATTTTGATTACCAGGGAGCTTGGGAGCCTATAGCTCCTCGTTGCTTTTTCAATGGTATAATCTCAGCCGCAGTCAACTTGCCAAACAATCAGTAGCACTTTCATCTCTCGTCTACAGTGTTGTGATCATTTGAAATTTGGAGTTCTTTCATTTGTCCAAATGAGTGCAAGTCAAATGCCTCCCTTTTCAGTGGAAATATATGTCTTGCTAATGAAACCCAGCTTTATTTCTCAGTTATGATACTGAAGTCCAAGTTTGCCATCCTGTTCTGTCTAACATCAAAATTGGGGATATGTCAGAATCTCATGCATCTCAATTCTGGTCAACCAAACTAATTTTGCTTGGCTCCTGCTAAAACCCAACACTTAAAGCCCCTGATCCCATTCCTCTTCTTCGGTCCCCACTCAAGCTGAACATCAATATGTGCAATCCTACACTTCTGCTCAGTTGCAAGCAGAGCTCCAATGCTACATTCAGTCCATCTTCTAAACTCCTTTTAAACATTAACCAGTTGTTTCTACCATGATCCTGCTGCTAACAAAACCCTCACCTATATCTTCAAATAGCTGGTGTGTGCATAACTCCTGTACATCAAAACTCCCTCACTCGGACATTGTCACTAATCTTACACGCCGAGTCTATCCATATGAATCTTCGTCCGTTCTCATTCTATAGTACTTCAATTTCAAAATTTTGTTCTTGTCTCAGCAACCTTACTCCTTCCATCCCCACAATTTCTCCATATCCTCCACCCTTCCCTCTGCGGTGGAACGCATATGCTAACCCCTTTCATTCAGATCAATGGCAGCAAAGCATTCAACTACCCTGTTTCAGAAACTCCTTCCTTTCACCTACCTACCATGCTACATTCACCATTTTCAAAGATCTCCTTCATCTTTATGTTTTGACAGGCTCTTTGCAGCACAGCATATTATGCAATGTTCCATTCAATACTTTCAAAAAAACGAAGAAGAAAGAAATTGAATTATGTAATGCCTTTCACATCATCGTGATTTGCCAAATCATTTAGGCAAATCAACAGACACATATGGCACAATGAAAGGTTCAACAAATAAGAAAAATGACGAGATAATCTGTTTAGAATATGCTGATTGACAGATAAATGCAAGCCAAAGTAATGAGTAGAACTCCCCTGTACTTCATGAGATCTTCTGTTCCAAAGCAAGTGGATGGAGACTCAAACCAACAATTTATCTGAATGACAGCATCTCTGATAGAGTCACATTCACAATGTATAGCAGTGAAGTGTTAACATTGATCATGTGATTCTATGACTCTAAATCTATCAAGGAGAATTTAAACCCACAAACTTCTTATTCTGAAAGCAATACTGCTATCACTAAGCCAAGACTATGTTAGATACTACAGCAATATCATAAGCTACATCAACAAACCATTACCACAACAGATTTGAAGAACATCCACACCCACACAGATTTCCATCTGACGCACTATTCATCTGTTGCCGGATAAAACATATGAAGTTTAATCATTAAGCTGGAAATCAGAAAGAACATCCTGGAATATATTCCTTTAATATCGATGCTGAATGGCCACCAAAGATGATATCATGGAGACTGGTTAGTCATTATGAAGTTGATTTGGGGCATTAACAAAAACATTATTAATAGAAAATGTTATAAAGTCTTCAAGAAGTTTCAAGAATTTCTTTGCGCTATACAATGTGGAGTCTTGAGTATGAAAGACATTGAACACATCCTGTTGCATTTGTATCCATACGTCTCATTTTAAAACATACTTTCAGGTTTACCATTTTCAGGAGGAGCTTAAGGACTAAACGTCAGTAATGGTGTACAAACATAGCCAACAAAACTTGTTTGGTAAGATTTAATACATTCTGCAATTGCAGCAAAGCTTTTTAAAACAGTTTAAGGAGTTTTGGCGACAGAAATAAATTATAAACAAAAGACCAGAGCAAGCAGAGTTACAGTTCAAACAAAAATGCTTGCTTACACCACAAAAGTTCAAGTTTGTATAAACATGACAGCTTTCTGTAAAATGGCTAGCTGAAACCAAAACAATTTTGCTTTGCAAATCAGTTGTTGAGGTAATACTGGAAGAAAGCCGTAACAGGATAGAAACACATGAATCATTGCCTGGGGCAGGAATAACATCAGGTGCATCTCCATGCCCTCAGGGTCCAACTCCTTCACTTACAGTCCCTCCTATTGGAACTGCTGGCTTCATTCTCACCTAGCAGTCAAGAAGAGCACACACATTGCTTGAATGAAGCACATTCATTGCAACGATAGTAGTCGATAAAAAACACACTTGCCTCAATACATGCAAGGTAAGTGCACTGATCTTTTTTTTTAAACTTGCTTTTAGTAATTAGCCAACATTACAGTTTGGTATGAAAAGATTTTGGTAAAACAATTACTAGTCTAGATTTGATAGATTTTAGGTGTATACTAAGGTACAATGTACTATGCACTGACTAAAAATATTTCACTAAAAACTCAATTTTCTGAAGTCTGAATTTAGCAATCAGACAATTAATTAATACAACTTACATTATTATCTAATATCTATTACATTTTATTACAGATTTTAATGAAATGTATTTATGGCTAACCTTAACTTTTAAACAAACCAACCAGTATATCATGAAGTGTAGGTAAAGGCAAAGAGATATTTAAAAAGGCCTATCAACTGCCAGAAATTGGCACTTACTATGTGGAGCTTTTTATTCACTTACTGGCACACTATTCCACTGGAAAAGGAAAAAAGCCTTGGAGATAAAACTATTTAACTCATGAATATGCTGTGGTACTCAACAATTCAAAAGAAGAAATGACAAATCTGAAGATATTGGTTTTAAGTACTCAGGTATTCCTAGTTATAGATCATAATCAGGCAACAGATCAAGAACTTGGGGAAAAAAAATCAGAAGCAATTAATACGTTTTGGTAAATGTAATAAGATTTGAAACACAATCTGCAAGTAAGAATTTTCTTTTTAATTCCCAAAAAGTAGTTTTTTTTCCTCTGTGCACCTGTGCTACCGCTTTAAGCAATGTACTATACGAAGGTTAAAGTCTGTGTCAGCACATACACACCCACTCCAGGAACCAGCATCTGAATCTCCACCGTCATTTTGTCCTCCAGGCACAGAAATGAGCCAACAGGAGATGAACCCACAGATTGCTTGTAAATTACATATTCTGTATTTCACAAGAAACAGGCAAGCAGGAGGTGCGACAAGTTACTGAACTAAGTCGATTTTCTTCCTTGATTGCGTTTACATTGGAAAAGTATCTTTCATCTTCAGTATACCAATATTCTATGTCATAGAAGCTTCCACAGGAAATTCCCACAATTAGCAAGTTCTCAATCTTTGAATCGTTGGGTTAGCGTAGGCTTGGAAGAAACACTGCAAAGTTGAAGAATGAGAAATATCGGAAGGCATTTCACCTTGAACTGTTCATTTGTAACTTGTTGAGGCTGCTTGTAAAATAGCACTAGAAGCGGCTTCCCTTTCACACAGTAAGTATTTCTGGGCTCTACAAAAGAAGGGGAGCTTCACTTAAACCAAGTACAGATTACATTCAGTTTACAAAGGAATAGATTTCTCATCCTTAAACTGATTTCTTATTGAGTTTCCCATCTCAATAGGGCTTTTATTTCCATTTTAGACATCTAAGCAAACTATATTTCTCCTATGTAAATGCAAATATATCAACATTAATCAAACTAAATCATTTCTTCAGTAATCAAGCTCTTGGATAAACCTGTTGCCCCAGGTTTTAATTTTAATGGGTATGTCATGAAGTCTTGAGAAGGATAAGGTTAAGGCGCGAGTTAACCACTAAAAATGACATCCTGTAAACTAGTTTTAGAAGCAAAATTGGAAACAAGTAGCTGATTAGTCAAAGTAGATCTCCAAATAGTTTAAATTTATTTTTCAGAATTTAAACAGGTAACCTATCCCCAAATAAGGCACTTTGTATTGGTCAGATATTTTCTTTCTTTGGCCACATCCTGGCAGAAATGGAGTAATTTTTACATTGGGTGGTTCAGGAATGTATCAGCATTTTGACGTTTAAATTATTGCAATAGCCGGGAGCCCATTTTTGTGCCGAGTGTCATTTTGACACCAACATCAAAAATAGAACAAGTTGTACATGCCATCAGTGGGTGGCACAAACAGAGGCTAAATGTTTTCCTGCAGGGAGGGAGGAGAAATTAAGGAAGGGTCATCCTCCCTGCTTCCATAAGTATCTCAAACATATCAACGAGTGCAGCATTTAAGAGGCAGAGCAATTGTGAGAGTTCATGAAGAGGGTTAATGCCATTAGGAGAGTTAAAAAGCAAAACAAAATGTAAAAGGGATAGAAGCTTGTAATGAAAAACAAATGATTATATTCTCCCCACAAATTATCTGTACAGTTACATTTTGTTCATTTTTATAATTTAAAAAACTTTTATCATTTTTACAAACATTGCATGAAACAAAAGATGTCATGTTATAATGTAAAAATGGATATTTAACCACATGGTCACAATAACAGATATGGCAAATTATGAACACAACTTTAAGGTGTAGAAATATAGATTGTACTCTTTTTGGACATTTTAATAATTCCTGCAGGACTGGCTATCCATCAGGTACCAGCTTCAACTGCAACAAGTTAGACTTGATTGTAGGAGGATAATTTGTGTTTTATCTAGTGCTCACAAAATGTCCAAATATGCACAGGTTCGAGGAGCTAGGGTGAATATTCCTTTTCTTGGGTGAGGTCTACTGAGGTTAGATGTAGCACCCTACTACTTTCACAGCTATGATCAACTGGGTAACCACAAACTAAGAATTGAGCTTTTGACCTGTTGATCCAAATGGTTTAGTGACTTTACCAATTGAGCCTCATTTACACTGTCTTTTACATTTAAAGGACTAGTAATTTTTTATTGTCGTGTTTCCTCATCAGGCTGTTGTTGGAACTAATTCACCATCACCACTTGCGGCCATGCCATTGTTAAAATATTAAACAACTTGTCTGATATCCTTTATCAAATAAGCAGAAATTTCCTCCAAATACTGGAAAAGCCTTTGTCTTCTTCCACACTATAAACTCCATTCCTTAGCTACCGACAGCATCCCATCCCTGGCTATTTACAGGAGGCTGAACCATGAGTTCACAACTTGGCATCATCTTTGACCCTTGGATGAACTTCCTGGAAATGCCAATAAGAAAACCTCTTTTTACTTCCATAACCCATCCCAACTAAGCCGCTGATTGATCAGGTGCTGAAACACTCCACCACACCTTTAGTTTTAATTATTCCATTGAAATCCTGGCTGGTCTTCCATATCCTATTCTTGGTAAACTTGGGATCATTCAATACTCTGATGCTGGTTTCTAACCTGCACCAGTCCCATGTACCTATCAACCTTGTGACTGCTGACCTAACCGCCTCCAGTATTTCATCTTTGTTCTCATTCGTTCTATGGTCTCAACCCTACCTATCTTTGCAACCTTTTCCAGTTCCACAAATCATCCTGTGTATCTATGCATATCTAATTCTGGCCTCTTGAACATCTCTGATTTCTACTGTTTCACCACTGCTAGCTATGCCTTCAGTTCCCCATTCTTGAAGACATAGAATTCTCTTCTTAAAAAATTCTCTGGCTCTCTTTCCTCCTTTAAGACATTCTTTGTACAAGTTTTTGGCCATTGACATCAATATGACCGTATATGGCTCAGTCTCAAATTTTGCTGTACAACACTCCCACGAAGCTTTAGACACTTCATGATGTTAAAGTTACATCTAAGTTGTCAAAATTTTTATTGTCCATAATGTACTATTATAAAAATAATTTGAGTCAACTTCCAAAATAAACTTCAACTAGCATCACAAATACCTCAATATTATGAATAAAAATGTTCTTTTTTAACCTATACTTCCTTCAGGGTTGTGGTACTTAAATATAAACTGAACATTTCAAAAAACGTTAAATTTTTCTCTAGATGAGGGCAGTACATTATGATGACTAAAATTATGGCATTAACATCTAATTTTCAGGGTAACAGCTTAACTGCCTTCTAACTTGCAATTTTCAGAATGCAAAAACCAATACATGACCATCTCAATTGTTCAAAAGTGGACATTATTCCAATGAAACTATTATTTTTAACTCATGTAGAATATATCTTTGTGAGATGTCACTCATGAATGTTGTACTGCATCACGACCAACTGAGGGGAACCAGCCAGAATCTGTTTAGGAAACAAGAGTTCCCACTTAAAGCAAGTAGAACTGAAACCATTCAAGATTCATCACACTGCAACCAGAAAAACTTACTTCATCAAGCTCAAAGCAAATTTCACCAACATTTAAATCTCAAACTTAGAAGGATGTTGTTTCAGACGGTTTATTGACACTCTAAAATCTTGGTCAATGCAGAAATGATAAATTCACCGTCTTAATTTTAACCACCTTGTGGTATTTATAATTCAAAATAAATCCCTTATTCATTAAACTTAAGTTGCAACAGAATATAATTCCCTCATGGTGCAGATATTAAAAAGTTTTATTTTAATTAATCAATTATTAGATTATACACATCACCGGTCTCAGAAAGATGCCTACTGGAATAACTGACATAGAGGCATTAAAGAGATTTTAACAGCTACTTTATCCTAAACAGTGGACTCAGGATGATATCAGAGGCAAGCCCAAAATCACCAAAATCTTTGAATCTTATCAACATGTTGATCCAGAAATCAGTACTTTCTAAAGAGAAAACTAACTCATATCTGATTCCATTCAATGTATCAAGTGCACAAAACATTATCCTGCAAATACACAAAGTATTTGTATGCTATCACCAAGTCGTTTTGCAGCAAATCAGTATAAATACTTGCCCTGAGGTTGGAAGACTGAGCTCAAGTATCCGGTGCTCATCACTTCATTAATCCTGCCAAGTCTCCTGTCCAGAAGCCTCTTTTCTGAATTTCAACTATTCACATCACAGAAATCTTTTCCCACTGTGACCCCATTTCAAGGCATGAAAATTGTCACAACACTTCAGTAAAAACTATGAGAGCACGGGCTAGTTAGCCTGGGAGAACAGCTGTTGTAACCTGGCAGCCCACTCCACCTCAGCCATTACTTCCTTGGATCTTACAGCCACAAAGTCCGAGCCCCCAACCACTAGGGATCCTGACTCCCTTTCGGGAAGACCTGCCCTAGAGGTTACCAAACACATATTGAATATGTTTACATGTTTCCTTGTACAACTACACAGCTGAAGATATTTATAGCTTACACTGCACTAACTTATAAATAG